CCAGTACAAGCTGCAGCGAAGAAACACCCTTCTCAGCCAATACAAGACAAGGTTAGAAAAAGTGCTTCCAGGCAATGCTTCCCAAAGCATTTCATAGCATGATATCTGGAGGGCGATTTGGTATAAACTGGAGGGATCTGAAGGCTCGGGAGAGCCCTCTGCAGCAGGAATTGAGCGGTCCAGGGTTTCCAGCAACCTCAGGCACCACCCCGGTCAGCCAAGGGCTTAGAGGACCGGCTGCTCACCGGGAGTGCTGTGTCACATGTAACCAGCGCTGGGAAAGTCTGCTAGAGGAGAGGGGATGAAGATCTGCCACAGCTGACTTATCCTAAGCCCCTTACTTCGCTCCTATGTCCTGCAAACCTTCTAGTGGCTGGGTGACACACCCCAACACAGGATGCGGGAGGAGCAGGTAAATTCTCCATCCATCGCTCTCACGGACCCCCCAGTGGCAAGATGTTTCATTGCAGCCTCTCCAGGGAAGCCTTGCCAGCCGAGTGGCTGTGCCTGTTTCGTGACCCTTGCTGCCTTTCTTCATGGCTTTTTGTCATCAAGACCAGCAGGACAGTGCACCACTTCACGATCTCCCAATCCCTGCTTGTCGTGTGCCCTTCTTCCTAGCCCTGTCAACCTGCATTTTCACTGTCCGAATAGAGTGTCAACAATCCAATCCTTGCTGTGGGTTCTGCTTTCCAGAAAACTCGGGCTACAACAGCCATCACATTCTGTCCCATATTTTCTCTCATTTTACCTATTTTGAGTTGGATTTTTGTCACTTGCAACCAAGAACTTGACTACAGTAAACTCAATACAAATGTTTGCACCATTGGATTTGTTCATAGCACCCTATAATGTTTCTTTGATCACTTTATCTCAATTTTTAATCTTTCTTCCTGAATTAGACTCTAAGCATAACGGGAATAAGGATTATATATTTTCTGTGTATTACTAAAGAGTCAGCCTCCACCACAGAATTCAGCATAAAGTAGGCAATCAATAAACATTCAAATTTTTAATGACCAAATGGATTAATTAACCCTAGCTTTCAGTTACCTTGGTACTAACCTAAACTAGTTCAACCAAGTGTCCTGAATCCTGAATGATACATTCAATACATAAAACTTTTAAAACATGATCCTTTGTTTGTTTGTTTCTTTGAGGGGGGAGTAGATTTATTTATTTTTCTTCGAAGAGGTACTGGGGATTGAACCAGGACCTCTCGCATGCTAAGCATGTGCTTTACCACTTGAACTACACCCTCCCCGCCTCTTAAAAATTATCTTTGAGTTTATAAATGTGTCTTCTATGAGTCTGGCCAATGAGAATTAATTAAGCTGTATGTGTTCAGCTCTGATACGAATAAATTTGAGCTACTAAGCCTAAAACATATACAAATAGTCTTTCGTAGTTACCAGCTCTGAGATTTGGGGTATGTCACTGAAACGCTCTGATCTGATCTTTTCATTTACCAGATGATAAGAGTGTTTTTCTCTGCCCATAGGCAGTTCTGAGGACCCAATACTTCAGGTATTGTTTTTTCGTTTTGGGAGGGAGGAAGGGAGGTTCGTTTATTTACTTATTTATTTCTTTAATGGAGGGACTGGGGATTGAACCCAGGGGCTCATGCATGCCAAACACCTTCTCTCCCACTGAGCTCTACCCTCCCTCTGAGGACCCAATACTTCAAATGGTGTGAAGCGCTGGGTATATGTTGTGTTTGTCGTGAGTATGAATACAAAGGACAGCCACCATGAAAGGAAATTCCAGCCTGAAAGAATGGTCCATGACTCTCTAACTCAACAATGAGAAAAGCAGTTGTGTAATAATGTTGAAAATTATTTTCCATATTGCTTATGACTTTCTATCATTCAGAAAAATTTTAACCGTTCTTTGTCTTACCGTCTACTGTTTGATGTAGTGTTAGGGTGGGAGTGGGAAAGATGATGCATTTCTTATCATCACCCAGGAGCACACTAAAGTATTTTTCTCTAATAAAAGAGCCGTTATCTTCCTAAGATACATTTTACTTCCAATCTCTAATTTAACTGATGTAAGCTGATATTGGTTTTTAAATAGTAATTTCTTCACAGACATGTAATAGAATCAGACTCCAATGCTGCTTTATAACCTCTTATTTTTTGGTTAGTTGTATGCCATATACATCTCTACATCAAAAAAGTTTTACTTCATGCATAACAACACACTATTTCAGTTTTTGAATGTATAATAATTAAACCAATTTCCTAAAATTGAACAGTTTCATTATTTTCAGTATAACTAATACCTCAACAATGAACATTCTTTTGTAAGCGCTTTTGCTTGATATATTTGGGGTATTTTGCGGGGGGAGGATTGAATGCAAGACATAGAGCCGTTTAGATTTTTTAAGTTAGGAATTTGCAAACATAGAGACATTGTATTTATTTTTTAAATTTTTTAATGGAGCTATTGGGAATTGAACCCAAGACCTGGTGCATGCTAAGCATGTGCTCTACTACTGAGCTATTTCCACCCCGAGACACTGTGTTTAGCATCGAGTCTTTAATCACAATTTTTCCATGAAGGAAAAACAATGATAATTGCATATTAAGAAGTATCTCACTGACGAATGGTACAGCTCATCCCTGGAAATCCCATCCTCCCAGTTACTAATGCTTCTCTTAACCCATAGTTTCTGTCTCTAGATGAGTTTTGGAAATTTATCAGTCCTGACCCACCAACCACCCTGGCTCCCAGATCATCATGGCTACTTTCTGTTCCAGTTAAGAGGGAAGAAGTGGAGGGGCTACAGGGCCCTGGGCTCCCCCCTTCCACACACAGCCTCTCTCAGAAATCAGCAGTGTCCTTCTCCCTTCTGGGAAGCTACAGCAGCTTTATTCAAAGACACAGAAGTCATGAGCTAGTTCTGTACCCAGACATTTGCTTCCTGGGGGTAGAGGAAAGGAAGTGGTTTCAGCAGTGTCCCCTGACATCTGTGGATCTCCCATCTGATCTGTTTGGCACACACTCCCCTATTCTCTGCCAGCAATTCCTGTGTACTGTCCTTTCTTCTCCTTTCTAGACACAGAACATTTCCCACGTAGAAGGATAAAAGCAGAGACACCCCGCATAAGGCCATCTGAAGTAACACATGGGGTTTGCCCTAAGTTGAGGTGTAATCTCTTTCCAAGTCAGGGAAGTGAGGATACAAGACTAAACTCTCATACACTGACATTATCCATTCTTTCCCCTGGCACTGAACATCTGCATGCAGTGGGCGCTGAACATCTGCATGCAGTGGGCACTATTAGACATGGACAACGTAACAGGAAACAGAAAAGTCTTTGCCCTTGTGGAGCGTCTATTCCAGTGAGAAGAGAAAATGTAGACAAATAAAGTAGATAGCATTTCATATATTGATAAAGTCTAGTTTTAAAAGAAGGTAAAGGAGAGGGAGGAGAGACGTGCTATTCCGTGTGTTGATCCGGCAGGGCTTCACTGTAAGATGGTGTGGGGGCAGACATGTGAGAAAATGAAGGGATGGACCATCTGGTTACCTAGGGGGGATATTCTAAGCAGAAGGAGCAGCCGGTGCAAAGGCCCTGAGACAAGAGTGCGTTGAGCATCTTCAGGGAATGGCAAGAAGGCTGCTATGACAAAGGTTGAGAGCATGAGGGGAAAGCATTAGGAGATGAGGTCGGAAATGTGTACCCAGAGAGCCAGATGATGTCGTTAGGATCTAATAGGACACTGAAAACCTTTGGACGCTCTCTAATATAAGATGGAAAATCACTGGAGGAGTTTTAAGAGAAAACTAACAATCTTTCTGAATCCATGTTCAACTGTTGAGTGTAGGTTTCAGGAGCATAATGAACATGTAATTATACAACTGTTTGTTCTATTGAGCAATCTGACGATATGAATCAAGAGCCTTAAAATGGTCAAGGCCAACTATTAATAAGGAAATAGAATAAAAGACCCCTTTTATGAATAGAAAAAGTAATGATAACATACCTAGGAATAAGCCAAGCAAAATCACAACGCAGACCTTATTCTTAGAGTCTCAATATTGTACATACGTTCATTATTTACATATTTATTTTTCCCATATCATTTATGTAGTTGTTTATTAATTACTTATGTGGTGGGGAGGGATATAGTGGTAGAGCACATGCTTAGCATGCATGAGGTCCTAGGGTACCTCCATTAAAAATAAAATAATAAAAATAAAGAACTAGAGGGGAGGGTAAAGCTCAGGGGCAGAGCGCATGCTTAACATGCGCAAGGTCCTGGGCTCAATCCTCAGTACCGCCATTAACATAAATGAATAAATAAATCTCATTATCTGTCCCCCCCAAAAAAAATTTTTTTTAATTAAAAAAAATTAAAACTGAAGTACTAAAGATTACTTAAAAATTATTTCTATGTCTATAATGTAATTCCAATAAAAATGAAAAAATCATTTTGTCTTTTGTACTAGACAAGCTCATTTTAGTTTTCATATGGGTGGAATTTCTTTGTTCCCTCCCTTCTCCCACACATTCAACAAGGCAGGCCTGGAGTCTGTGCCCTCAGATGCTGCCCTCTCCAGCCTCCTCATTCCCACTGACCCCACACAGAAGTCAATCAACAGAGAAAGGCCTGCACCTGGGAGCCAAGACGAGCTCTGACTTATTCCAACTCTTATGCACACATCTGTATTCCAGGGGTAGACTGACGCAGGGCAAAGGAGTTGTCAAGTCATAAAGGTCTACAGCCTAGGCTGAAAAGAGCTACCGTTTGGAATTTGGATCTAAAATTTTGTTGGAGGAGATAATCAAGAGGACGTGGCCACCAGATGACCAGAGACCTTGACCTGGGCATTCAGAAACCCTTCACGTCTTCCCGTGTGTTCTCCCCACTATCCCCGCAGTGGGAGCTGTTTTCAAGGACGTGATCTTGGGAGCTCAATATGTTGTTGAGACCATCTGGACAGCATATGGGACTGAGCGCAGTTAAGGTGTCCATCCATACAAACTTACAAGATTTGGCGGGAGAGTGCAGAGATCTACACATCTTGTAGCCACCCAAGGCAAGACTCATAAGTAAGTTCTCGTGCTGGTTGAAACTGCTGTCTACCAATCTGGACTGATCTGTCTCTTTCTTCCGTCTCTCCTTGCGCTCCATGTATCAGGGCCAGTGCGTAAACCAACTGGTGAGCCAGGCAGGAGACCAAAGTAATGGGCCTTGGGAAAGAGACATCCATGTGGGAAATCCTGAGTTGGCTGTCGACCTCTCTGTGCGGAGGGGTGGCTCCTATGTCAGATGTGTGTGGACTGCCGCATGAGTACAGGGATGCCCTGAAAATGCCAGCTGCCTTCATGCATTTGTTTGAGAAACTATATGTGCTGCGCTGTGGCAAAGAAGAGAAATGGAGGGCTGCTGCAGGGGGCCGGCCTCTACTCTGCACAGTTAAGCAGACCACCAGTGCCCAGCTAGAGGCTGAACCTGAGCTGGAAAGTTAGAACAGGGAAAGTGGGTGGGAAGGGATACATTTGGGAGTTTGAGATTTACAAATGTTAACCACTATATATAAAAATAGATTAAAAACAAATTTCTTCCGTATAGCACGGAGAACTATATTTAATATACTGTAATAACCTTTAATGAAAAAGAATATGAAAACAAACACATGTATATATATATGCATGACTGGGACATGATGCTGTACACCAGAAATTGACATATTATAACTGACTATACTTCAATAAAAAATAAAATAAAGTTAGTTGGAAGAAGGACTGAAGTTACAGCAGGATATGCAGTGATCCACTTCTGTGTTGCCTCACGGCTGGCAGACAAAGTGAAGAAGCAGGAAAATAAGTCAGAGACCTTAGCACGCTGTTTTATGCAGCTATGAGGGCATAAGCTGCCACAGATTAAGGCCCGAGTGCTTGTGACAAAGCCTGATTAGGATGCTAAGAGGTAAAATCCCTGGGGAAGTGAGCAGAACAAAGGAGAGGACATTATCACGAGTGACGATGAAAAAGGACAGAGCTTCCCACACCATCCGACCCTGAATGCAAAGGAAATTTTTAAATGACAGTTACTCTAAACTTCAGATAATAGAAAAATATACCCCCAAAACACCTAGGAAAAAACATGCATTCTTTCTCTCTCCCTTGAAGTTGTAAATCTTACCACGTCTTTAAAATATAAACACTCCAGGAGATAACTAAAACACACTGCCCACGGAGACAGAGGGGGGAAAAAAAAGAGAAACAGAGGAATTTTTAAATACAGACCGTTATAGATGCTCCCTGCCCAAAGTCTAATCCACAGCCTCCATAAGGTTATTCATCAAAAGCAAATACAAGACTTAAAAGTCTTCCCTCAAAATACTAACAAAAAGCTCTTGCCGTGTAAATGGGTACCTGATTTATGGCTAAAGTTTTTGCATAAAAGCTGTGGACTCTGTGTTTAAGTTTCTCTGTATGTTTATGTGTATCTATGGGTATACGTTATACATATCGATATTTTTCTACCTCTGAAGGGTCTTGCCAAAATTATTTTGTAAAAGAGCTCTATTTAATTGGCTTAAGGAAAAAAATAAGGCTTGATATCAATAATGTACTTATGTCAAACTGAAACTTTATTTTCTTTCATCTGCCAAAAGGACAGTTTTCTTAGATTATCAGACTGTTCTTGATAAGATGGTGAAAGATTCTTCATTGCCTTTTTCTGTAATCTGCCTAGAACACAAAGATTCTGTGTTTTACCAAAATAATTTCCTTTGCTTCAAGTTGTCTTTATCAGATCTTTGATCACTTAAGAAAACTCTGTCTTCTCTGTTAAAAGAGCTAGTTTTTTTCTTTCTTCCTTACAATCATGTAACTCCCTGTATTTGTCTCTGAAGTCTTTAATAGTCACTTTGATCAAATGGATAACTATTATTTCACAGTGACCTAAGATCCTTTAATCAAGTGTTTAATATCAATATCTTTGGATATTTTTGACAAACTTCCTCAAAATCCAGTTCTAAGTGAAGTCTTACACCAACTTTGGAATCTTCTAGAGAGCCCCTGGAATGCCTCAAAAAAAGTGTTCTCTCTACCTATAAAAGAGCGATATTAGACCAGACAGAATTGTTTGATACTTTAAACTACATAGGAAGCATCAAATAAAAAGTGATGCTGAACTTTCTTTAGGTTATTCCATATAAATTTATTTTATTAACATAAAAGCGCTTCATCTTCAAGGAGATTCGTGGGGAAAACTCTGACAGATACAGGTGTCCGATAACTAAGATCAACTTGCCTTCGTGTGGGAAGGACAGCAGTGGACCTTTCAAATGCTTCCCCAAGGTTACCTGCACAGCCCCACAATATGTCATGGGATGGTAACTGGAGATCTCTTTTCTCCCTGACATCAGTAAAATGGGCCCATTACACTAATGATAGAATGTTAATGTGTGAGACTAGCCCCTGCAGCAGGAGACTGCAGGCTTTGCTGACATATCTGCAAGAGAGAGGCTACGTAAGCGTGAACCTGAAAAGAATTCAATGCCCAGGTACTACCGTGAAATTTGGGGGTGTTGTTAGGTCAAGTAAGACGGACACTGTCCCAGAAAACTGTATTTAATTAAGATGCAAGCCAATCCAGCCCCAAGAACGTAAAGGGATGCAAACCTCTGCAGGGCACTGGGGGATGTGGAAGGCACAGTGCCTCTGGGTCCCTTACACTGCCTGGTAAAGAGAAGGCACACCGGGGACTGGGGATCCGAGCAGCAAGCTGCCGTTGAGACTGGAGGAGAAGCCAGTGAGACTGCTCCCTCGGGCCAAGCCCTGCACCCCATCTCTGGTGGAGCACCCCAATCCCGTGGGCCAGGAGTGCAGGAGCAGACTTTGAGAGGAGGTGAGAAGGGTCTTTGGACCTATGGGGCCAATGCCCAGTCTTAGGAGCATCTAAAGGCCTGTGGCTCATTCAGGGAAATGGACTCAGCTTTGGAAACTGGAAAGGATCCAGGATTTGGAGTCAAATATACAGAGTTTGAGGTCTCCCCACCCTGCCTCCCCTGCCCCACCACTTACCAGCCATACAAGCATCAGACTTCTCTGACGCTCACTACCTCTGTCCAAAAAGCCGCATAGTCCCCGGCCCAGCTTCCTCACAGAGTTGGACTCTAAACTGCTCTTCTGAGCCAACACTTCAGCTGTGCCTCCATTTGGGGCAAAATCCAGCTCCCAAAGAAGCCAAGCTTGGTGAAAGTCTCCCTCCATAATGACACCGTGGCCCCAGCCCTGGCTTTTCCAGACTTTTTCAGAGCTGCCTGGGGATCCCAGGACTGTCTCCTTGGGCTGGTGTAGCAGGTCCTGAGATGAAACAAGTAAGGAATTAATTGAAATGGCCCTTACCTCTGATGGCAGAAATGTGGGCATATAAAACAGTCAAATAAAATGTGGGTATTTAATTTAATTTCCAAGTGATTTGGGGAGAAACTAATTTTTAAATAATTTCTTTTAAAAATATTACATTACATATATAAAACACAATATGAAAAGAATAGTATACAAAAAAGAAAATAAAAATCAGCCAAAATTTTAATACTCAGAAGTCACTGCTTTTAGTATTTTGGTAATTCTAACTTTGCTGTACACCTAAAACTAACACAATATTATAAATTAGCTGTACTTCAACTTAAGAAAAAGTATAAACACACACATACTATGCTTTGATGCTGAATAAAGTTTTATAGAACAAAGATTGGCAGGAAGTGCAATAAAAAAATTCTGATAATTCTAAAACATTTTATGAATATATAAGTGTGAATGAATATATATATTTAAGCTTATTGTACTGTAAACTGCATATTATTTTATACTATTTATTAAATTTAACAATACAATGTTAACAGATAATCCATAGGTATAGAAAATTCACACACACTTGAGTGTGTATATATATGTATACATATACTTTTTTTAAATTTTTTTAGCAAAAACTGACCTCTGAGAAGGAGAATCTTGACTCATAAAGCCCTTTGTTCTGCTGAGTGCCTTGATTGGGTTTGGGTGTGCAAAATGAAGAAAAGGAAAAAGTCACATGCTCCATCAGTGTAACCCATCCTACAAGCCCCCAGAGCTTCAGTGACGTGTAAGTTTCAAAAAAATATTTGAGTGGGTGGTTCTGAATCTGAGTGGATGTGGGAAGAAAAGTGAATTATTTATATATACATATATATATAAACACACAGATATATATATTCCTTTATTGACAATTCTCCTAATAATGAATAATTATTGCAACCCCACCTGGCTGTGATGCATATTAATATCCTGCTGAATCCCGTTTGATAGAATCTTCTGCAAGAATTTTGCAAAGGTATTTATAATGTAGGATTTGTCTGAGTTCTTTGAAAAGCTTTGATCAATGCTGCTTTGGTTTCTTATCATTTTGGAAGATTTCTTCCTCTATGCCCTCTCAAAAAAATGTAAATATTACTAAATTTATCTTTTCCTTGAAGACTAAAAAATATCAGTATGAAACCATCTGGCTTGATACATTTGGAGGTGTGGTTCCCTAATAATGTTCTCAGTTTTTTTTCATGACTATTGTTCTGTTTATTTAACTGCCTCATCTTGCAAAAAAAAAAAAAGGTAATTTACATTTTCCTACAAAGCCTTCCATTTAATGTAGGTTTTCAAAAGTTGTATAATTGTTCATCGTCCCTTCTTCCTTGATTAGCCTATTCAGTGGTGTATCTATTTATGTTTCATAGAAAAGCTTTTGAGTTTATTCATATATTCTGTTTGGTTTATTATTCATTAATGTCTGCCTTTATTTTAATTAGTTTTGTTGATATTTTCCTAAGTTCTTAATTTCCATGCTTGGTTCATTTATTTTTATTATTCCTTTGTTGATACTCTTTCCAATTGTTTAAAGACCAGTTTTAATCACATCCCTTAAGTTTTGATAGGTAGTGTTTTGATTATCATTATTCTCAAGTCTGTAATTTCAGTCTTATTTTCTTCTTTAAAGAGGGATTTTTAAAAATTACTTGGCAAAAATATTTTCCCCCCAAGTTTTGTTATTTTTAAAATCATTTGATTGCATTTATATTTTTTAATGGGTTTCTTGGTGCCCTAAAATATGCTCAATTTTGGCAGATCATCTATGAGTGCTTAAAA